TAAGGAGTAGAAAGTACAGATATTTGTGTAAAAATGTAAGGAGTAGAAGTAAAAAGTCGCCATAAAAATAAGTAGTAAAGTAAAGTAAAAATATGAGAAAAATCTACTTGAGTACAGTAACGAAATATTTGTACTTACTTCCCATCTCTGGTCATAATGCAAGTCAGCTTCAGAGCCCCTTACAAACCTCAATAAGGATCAAATTATTGTAGAAAGAATTATGGAAAGCTAATCAAAATTCAGAGACTTATAGCTGCAGTGGTGCAGAGGTCATTTTTACACATGCCACAATGGTGAATTTGTTTTATGGGGAGGGAGGCGTTGAGCTTGAAATGTATAAAAATTTTCATGCAGTTCAAGCTTTCTTCAACTGAACAGGTTCTGTTTAGGATTAAATGTGACTTAATTTAGCAAAAATTTAAAGTGAAAGAAAGAAATAATCTTAAAACAGTGGATTTGCTTTCGAAAATGACTGACAATGATAATTTATAACTTTTTGTAAAGCAGTCCTGTAAGGACTATGAAATAATCTGAAATTTTATAGACTAAGCTCTTTAACCCATATAGTTTAAGTATTGAAAAAGAAATACTCTAAAGAGGAATAAGTCTGGAAAAATATACCTTACCATGGGCTCCTTGTTATAAGGTTTTGTAACCACAATAGGGGGCTGATTTAATTTCAGCCATTGGCCTTTCCCAATCAATGGCAACTCTTTCCCCCAATCCACGACTCATTCCATTTGGACATCCCTGCGGAAGATCAGCCATATTAAATCCTGTCTAAAACCAATTATGTATAAGTACAAGTGCCTTATAAGCCCCTCCACAGCAAGTAAGGACCTGTTTCTCACCAAACATCAGGATCAGCAACAAAATGTGGTCGGCAAATGTAAATCCACGTATGCATTGCACACATTCTATAAGTAAAGAAACTACTTACTCACCAACACATGTAATTTCACATAGGCAATAAAAATCAATTTTTTAAAGATGCAAACGTTTTGAGAAGTTATCGCAGTGCTACAAATAAAGGCATCATTTAAAACCCTTTAAAAAATGTGGGTCTAATAAAATCTTTTCCTTTGTCTATTAAACTAGCCTTAATATTATCATTTAATTTTTCAGGGTGCAAAGGTTTAAATCAACAGTATACAATGATTTAACTGTTAATGCAGCAGTATTATTGTGCATTAGGTGCATGTTAAAAGTTTGCTGCAAGAGCTTGGATTGC